AGGCATCCCCATAGATGGTAGTGACAGACGTCCTGGGACAGTCCTGTAGATGGTAGTGACAGACGTCCTGGGACAGTCCCTGCAGATGGTAGTGACAGGTGTCCCCGTAGATAGTAGTGACAGGCATCCTGGGACAGTCCCTGTAGATGGTAGTGACAGGCATCCCCATAGATGGTAGTGACAGACGTCCTGGGACAGTCCTGTAGATGGTAGTGACAGACGTCCTGGGACAGTCCCTGCAGATGGTAGTGACAGGTGTCCCTGTAGATGGTAGTGACGTGTGTCCTGAAACAGTCCATGCTACGTATGCAATGACAGGCGTCCTGGGACAGACGTGTAGTTATATGGTGACAGGTGTCCTGGAGACAGTGTGTGTATGTGTGTGGTGACAGGCATTCTGGGTCACTCTGTTAGACATTTGTGACAGGTGTCCTGGGACCACCCATATGGATGCCAATGACAAGTGTCCTTAAATGGTCCACGTGGGTGTGTAGTGACAAGTGTCCTTGGACAGTCTCTCTCTGCAGATGGCAGTGACGGATCCTGGGGGCCAAGTCCCATCTCCAAGTCCTCTGCTAGTCTTCTCAGTGGACGCTGACTTCGGTCTCTGGCTGGTGGGGCCCTGGGTGGGGCTGCTCTGTTCTGACACCCGCGTCTGGGGACACTTTATACAAAGTCCCCGAGGCTGCACTGCCGTCGGGCCAGAAAGCCTAGCTGGGGATGGGACGCTGCCACACACGGCTGTGACTGTCACTGCTTCTGGCCACAGAGGCCGGCCCCCGGGCTCCCCGTGAGGGCCCCGAGGAAGCTGTCCTCCTGACAGCCAGGTCACAGGTCACAGGTCACACTTCCTTCGGCCTGGTTTCCACACGTGTGCACACACATCACATACTCTCATTCACACACACTTTTGGGTGTGATCCTCGCGTGCACACTCACACACTCAAGGACCCCTTGGGCCGGGGGACAGTCCAGGCACCCCCACCCGCATGGGGACCCGCCCCAGCGCGCCCCTTCCTCACCTGGCAGAGCGTAGGTGGCTGGGAAACGCGCACGTTTGGGATCGACTGACCCAACAACACGCCAGCCACCGACAGAGTGGCCTCTAGGCCGACGTTGGTCACGCCAGGCCAGTGTGCAGGGCGAGGGGTAGCGGGTACGGTCCGTCCTGGACACGTACACCGTCTGGAGACTGACCAGGACTCGGGGGTCACCCTGGACGCCTCCCTTAGCAGTCCGACCCTGACCCCCCCTTCAGTGCCCTGTGTCTCTCCGGACGTCGCCTCCTCCCGGCCTCCGTCTCCCCGTGTTCTTCTCCGGACGGCTTTCCCGGCGCTAGTCCGCCCGGCCGCCGCCCCGTCCAGCCCGGCGCAGGGGGCTTCCGTGGGCCCCTGTGACTCGAGGGACAGAAGCCAGTGTGTCCCCGCGTCCGCTGTGCCCCAGGCCCTGCCGTCGGGCTCCACCGCCTGCCGTGCGCTGTTCCGCGGGGCTGTCCCCAGCCTCACACGGGCGGCCCGGGCTCCTCATCGGCGGGTCGGAACCCGTGTTCCGCGGCGCCGAGCACCCGAGCCGGCCGGGCCGAACCGAAGCGCCTCGCCTGTAAGACGCGCACACAACTTCCAAGTCTCTCGGCTGTAATGTAAAACATCAACCGCAGAGCGAAAAGACAACATTTTGGACACATTACGCGAATAGAATACACGAGGTTTGCGAGTCACTAAAGGCGGTGGCGTCCTTTTCCTTTTCCAGCACAGCCACGATCCACACTTCCGCACGTGCCCTCCGTCTGGGCCACGGGTGCCTCGCTCGTGGGCGCCGGGCACACCTCCGGGCCCGCGGGGCTGGCGTGAGCCAAGGCGCCCTGGAAGGGGGTGTCCTTCAGAACGCCTCCCGCAGGACGCAGCCTGGGGTCCCCGAGGCGCCGGGGAAGGAGACCCTCCGACTCCGATCGCGGGAGCAAGCAAGGAACCCAAACCTCCGCGAGGCACCCGGAAGGGACGCCCTGCTCCCAGGCGGCCGCCCGCCCACGAGGGGGTCTCAGCCCAGACCGCCCCACCCCCGCCCCAAGCCGCCACAAGAGGGCGCGCTTCCTGTACAAAAGGCGGGAGCCCGAGGCCTCTGCTGGGTGCGGAGGTGTGTGGCAGGCGGACGCACGGGCTCAGGGGGGCCGGTCACACCAGACGGCCACCCCTGGGCGACGGCCACCCTGCTCCCTGCCTCCAGACCCAGCCTGGCGGGGTACAAGCGGCACAGCCCAGCCGGTTACTTCCCGCCCGATGCTTGGAAGGGCACATTGTCTCAGACAGCAGAAGGGCCGCCCGCCGGGCCGCGGCCACGCCCGCCGTGGACAGCCACGCCATCATCCGCCCTAGACACAGCCACACTCTGCCCGGGGGTGGCCAGTGCCCGATCCGACTTCTCAGATGCAGGCGCATGACAGGGAAGGGCTGTGGAGGGCAGCAGGGGCAGCCAAGGGAGCTGGGGGCCACGGAGCCCCAGGGCCTGGGGAGGCACCCTGGCCTCCGGCTGCCCGGGGAGCCTGGGGTGCAGAAGCGCAGGGGCTCCGGAGGCGGGTGACCTGGGCTCCTGAGCTGGAATCCCACCTCCCCCACCGAGTCCCAGCTTCAGTGGCCCCTCCACGAAAGGGGCAGAGGCTCAGCGCTGTGCCGCAGGGTGGATGCGGGCCGGGCAGGGCCCGCACACGGCTGGCTGGTTCGGAGGGAAAGCAGAGCCAGCTGATTCCCACTCGCCAGGGGACACCAGGATGGCACTGGGTACTCCGCAGAGGGGGCGTGACCGCCGCATCCATAAGCCAGGAATCAGCAGGGACGGACCACATGCCAGACACACCTCAACACAATCCGAAGACGGAGGGGCCTGTGTGACTGCATTTTGCATTTGAAACCGGAGACACAGAGAGGGTGAGACATTTGCTGATGTCACACAGCCACCGGGAGGGGAGCTGGGATTCCAGTCCAAGCGGCGGGACTCAGAGAAGCCAGCCTGCTGCCTATCCATCCCCACTGGCTCAGCAAATGGGGCAGCGGCTTCCCGAGCTGGATGGGGGCCCGAGGCATCCTCTGCTCCGGAAAACCCCCGCCTGCCTCTGAATTCCACCCGCTGCCTGCGAGAAGGGCCCCGGGCAGCGGGAGGGCTTTCCCTTCCAGGCTTGGCTTCGCCCGGCCTGTCCTGGCTGCTCCCGGGTCTGGAGCAGCCGGCAGGGACTGCGCCGCGAGCCCTGTTCAGGGCATCGTCACTCACCACGAGCCCCCCCACCCCGCGCTGCCCGGTCCCCCTCTGCCCGGCCCCCGCCAGAGGCTCTCCTCTGTCCCAGGGGACAGACGAACGCGCCGTGCCTGGAGTCCTCCCCAGAGCTCCTCCTGCCGCACCCAGTTCCCAGCCTCGGGGACACCCAGCCTCCTGGGCACGGACAGCCGCCCCGTGTGCAGACTGATGGGGGGGCAGGGTGACGCGGCCGCTGAGAGCGCGCGGGTGAACAGCAGAGCGAGGAGCGGCGCCTTCCTCATTACGGCCAAACACATCTTTGTTTTCCTTCCCAGTGACAGCTGGCTCCCCGTGAGGTCCCAGGAATTACAAAAAGCAGAAGTCTTAACTTCTGTTTTATGGCTGCAGGAAACTGCCGGAGCCGGCCCGGGGCGGGGCGGGGGCCACTTCGCGCCCGTCGGAGGCTGCGCTCAGCGTCTGCCCCGCACCCAGGTCGAGCCGGGCGCTCAGAAGAGGGAACCAGGAACCGATTCTTTATCGCTTTTACATCATGAGTTTCCAGCCCGCAGGCCAGGCCCCGTCCCGGGTCTTTCCACTGAGGCTACGAGGGCGGCTTCCTGCCCAGGAACCCTCTCCAGGCGGCCCAGCCCCGCTTCATGTGTTCGTGGCTAACGGCGGCCCTCAGAGGCACGTGGGGGCTGGGCTGCCTCCTGCAGCCGCGGCCCCCCGTCCACCGCACCCCAGCCCCGCACCCCAGCACTGCACCCCAGCCCCAGGGAATCTTGGAGGTAATCAGACCTGCTCGTTCAGCCCAGGAGTCTGGGGTCTTGACCCCGAGACAAGATCCGGAGGTGCGGTTTGCTCACTCAGGCAGGACAAAGGACAACCCAGCAGCCGGTCCCCTGGTCCCCTGGAGTACACAGCATGGTGCTCGCCCCGTAGGGCTGTGACCCCAGAGACCCAGTGTCCTGAAGCTGTGACACAGCCCAGGAAAGGAGCCGCACCCCCACGGCCGCACCCCTGGTGGGTGTCCGTCAATCCTCACTTTCCTGCCTCCTCCTGCCGCCTCCCCCCGCCCCCCGGGTGGGGGGCTTGGAGAAAGCCATGCCTCCACCCCCGTCCGGGGGTCACCTTGTATGGAGACAGCGATGGGGCCTGACTTGGCACGCAGGGCTCTGCAGAAGCTCTGGGGGCCTGTCCGCCCTCAGCCCAGCGCGGCGCCTGCCGGCCTCCGGCGCACCTCTCCGGACCTCGGGGTCCCCGCCTGGAAAATGGGACAGCAATCACCTCCAGGCTGTCAGGAGGTTACGGGAGAGGAAGCCCAGCCCAGCCTGTGCGCCCGAAGCCTGAGCTCTAGCATTGCCTTCCTGTCCCTGCGGGCACGACACGAGTGTGTGACCGTGACCCGCCTAGTGCATGAGCAGCGCATGGTCAGCACTGTCTGGGGCCAGTTCTAAGCAGTCAAGGCAATCAGGGCAGGACCCCCCCTCACACAGCTCACAGGGCCTGGGACCCCCTGTCCCCAGGCCTGGGAGCAGACGCTAGTTGCAGGACGATGCTGTGTGCACACCCTCCGACACTGGCACACCAGGTCCCGTCCTCCCCCGGGGTGGGTGAGGATGAGCTTGGCCTCCATGACCCAGACGGGGCTGAATGCTCTTCCCCTCACATCTCTGCCTCCAGGTGGCACCACCCCTGACAGCAGTCACAGCAGTGCCCCGTGTGCTGGGGGCTGTGTCAGGTGAGGGTCTGACATCTGGGGCACTGACCACCCCTCAAGCCAGGGCTGGGGAGCACGGGCCGGGGAGCATGGGCCGGGAAGCACGGTCCGGGGAGCATGGGCCGGGGAGCACGGGCACGGGGAGCACGGTCCGGGGAGCACGGGCACGGGGAGCACGGGCACGGGGAGGCCAGCTCACGGCGGGGGCAGCCGGGGCGCTGCCAGCCGCCGGGGACCCTGTGCGGGGAAGGAGCGGGGTCAAAGGGCAGGCGTGGGCTCCCTTCTGAGCCAGACCAGCCAGCGCCTCTCGGGGCGTCAGGAACTAAACTTCCACCACCCTCGCGGCTTGTCACCCCCCCCCCCCGCAGGGAGAGAGTGCCCGGCCAACAGTAACTGCTCGGCACGGCGCCCTCGGGCTGTGGGAGGCAGGTAGCCTTGCAGGTAAGAGCCAGGCAGCGGGCAGGACGGAACTGCCCGACAGAAATGCCAGCTCCCTCCTCGAAAGCGGCACTCATTAAGCACCTACTGCATGCGGGCTCTTCACCATGTCTCAGCGACACGGTGGTAGGGCCTCTTCCACACCTGGGATTCTGAACACACGTGAGCGCGCACATCTGTACAAGGACTCGGAAAGGACTCGGGACCCACCGGTGTTGGGGGGCTGCCGATGAATCAGATGACCCCAAACTCAACCCCCTGACGGTGCAGCAGGGGCGGGGAAGCCAGCCCTGTGACAGTTCCAGAGGGTGGGGGGGGGGGAGGCCTCACCCAGACCCCACCCTCGGCGGAGCAGCCGGCCTCCCGTGGTGGCAGCCCCGCTGGCTGGGATCTTGCGGATTAGTGGCCCAGCCTGCGAGCGGCTCCAGATCCTTGCGTAGGAAGGAAAATTAATTTCTTCCAGTCGTGCAGAAATGAAAATGTGGAGCCAAATCAGAGAGATTTCCTGGAGGTGGTAACTCAATTACGCGGATAACCCGGTGACCAAGGAGGCGCCCCAGGACCCGAAAGGGGTTGTGGGTGGCCCGGGGGAGCCCCAGAGTGTCCTGGAGGGAGATGTCCAGCCAACCCCCCCCCGCCCCCCCTGCTGCTCGCCAGCCCCGGCTGGGCCCGTGAACAGAGCGTTGCCAGCCACGTGACCGTCCCTTCCCCCTTCACTAGATCAAGCCACCTCGAGAGACTCGGATTCTACCGGAAAATTGGTCCTAACGTGATATTCTCCCACCCTGCATCTGTCTGGCTCTCCGGGAGCGCGGAACACCGCAGCTGCTCCTTCCGCTCTGGCGTTCTCTTCCCTCTGCCCTGTCTGCCCACAAGAGTGGCCTGGCGCCCAAAAGCGTGGTCCCCGCAGGGGCTTGTCGGCTACACAGGACGGAACCTCCTGCCTCCCCATGCACAGGACAGAGTGGGGCGGGGGGGGGGGTCAAACGTGCGTCACGGAGCACTGGCTCTCTAAGAACGCGCCGGGAAGCGTGGCCTGGCCCTCCGGCCCCAGCCGCCCCCCACCCTAGGGGCTGTAGCCCCAAGAAGTTTCTCAAACCTTGCAGCAAGTTGCAAGAGCACAGCCAGGACACAATACCAGCCCCAGGCTCCGCGGCGGCCCGGGAGCCCCTGTCTCTGGGTCTGCAGAGGAAACACACGCCCTGTTAGACATAACGGGGCAGCATCCTGGCCCCCAGGCCAGAGGCCAGAGCACCCTAGGCGCACTAGAGTCTCCTCTGCTCTCAAAGGAAATATTTTTCTCCCTCGTCTCTGGAACAGGCCTGCAGTCAGTCAGCCAAGGTCCAGATGGTGGGGAAGACGGGCTTTCTCGGAGGGAGGGGTCCCCGCACCCACAGGGATCTGCTCTCTCCTCTGTGGCTGTGCCCCCCGCCCCCCACGAAGTTCCCAGGGGCTGGAAGGAGGGACGGCCCGGGGCTGTGTTCAGAGCCCCGCAGCTCCAGCCCGGCTTGCCACCAGCCCCGCCGCCTTCTGCGCCTTGCGGCCCGTCTAGGGCTGAATTTGCAGCCATCTGTCCCTCCGCGGCGGCTCACACCTCCCTCGGAGCCGTTCCCACAGCCTGGCGCCAGGCCTGCCCAGCGCGCAGATGGACGGTCCCCGCGGGTGTGAACGGTCGCTGCCACAGGGCTGCGCCCCAGGCGCCGTGGGCTGTCCGGGCCCCAGGGAGGGTCGCTGAAGCCCCGGACCCCACACACGGGGAGTGGGGGCAGCCCCCTCCGCAGTCTCTGGGCCGACTTCACCCCAAGCCGTTTAACCGCTGTCCGCCTTTGCCTGGGGCGCAGGGCCAGGGAGGCACCCAGGGAGCTCTGCCCCGCACCCCCATCTCTCTTAGGGCCTCTCTCCGCGCCCCCTCCCAGTCCGGTCCCCTGGACCCGGGCCTTTTGTCAGGAAGCCTAGGTGCCGGGGGGGGGGGCTGCGGGACACCCCACCTTCCGCGCGCAGTTCCCACGTTAGGTTTGACCACGCCCCCGGCAGGTCAAGCTCGCTCGAGGGGTGGGTGGGCCGGAGGGACCAAAGTGGGTGGGCACTGCCGGGGCCGGCCCCACCCTGCCGCGGGCTCCAACTTTCCAAAGTGGGGAGGGGGGCCTCGGGGGCGGCCCGCACGCTCGGCGCGGCTGCAAGGAGACCCCCAGACGGCAGCCCGAGGGCGGAGTCGGGGTGACGGCGGCGGCGGCGGCGCGCGGGACGCCGGGCACTTACGGTCCGGCGGTCCGGCTGCTGAGAGGTTCCCGAAGCGGCTTCTCCTCCGAACTCGGTCCCCGCCTCCGTAACTTGGGGGCCCCCCCGCGCGCTGGCTTCGGGCGCCGCGCGGGGCTCAGGCGCGCGGCGGGGCCGCCGGGGCGCGCGGGGCGGCCGCCTGGGCCATGCCCGGGCTCGGCTCCCGCCGCTCGCTGCCCCCGCCCGGCCGCCCCGCGCGGGAACAAAGCGCGCACGCCGCCCCCGGGCGGTCTCCGGCCTCCGTGGCCGCGCGGGCGCAGCCGCCGCGCCTTCGACTCGCGGCGCCGGGCTCTCTGCCGCGCGCTCGGCCGAGCGTCTCACGGGGCCCCGCGGCCCCCGCCCCGCGCGCTCCGCCCCCGCCTCCGGCCCCCCGCCGCCGCCGCCGCCGCTGCGCCACCTGCCTCCCGCCCCGCGCCCATCGCGCTCGGCTCCGCCCCGGGGGGGCTGGCGGCGGGCGCGGGGCCCGGGCTCGGTGCGGGGTCGGCGCGGGAGAGGGGCTCCGCCCGCCGCCGCTCCAGGCAGGCAGCCGCCCCCGCCGTCCCCGCCGCTGGGGCCCCGGACGCGCCCTGCCAACTCGGCCGGCGGCGCGGCTGCGAGTGTGAGCGGGGTGTGTATACGGGGGCGCGGGGTGCAGTGTGGCGGGGGTGCGGTGCCGTGGGGGGGGGAGCGCGCTTCCCTGCAGGGGAACGGGGGTGCCCCGTGAGTGTGCCGGAGCGCGGGGGGCGGGGGGGGCTCAGGGGCAGCAGCGTGGGTGTCGTGCAGGGAGCGCTGGGGGCCGTGCGTGGCGGGCCCCTCGCCTGCGCCCACCCTCGCCGGCTCCGCAGGCCGCGCCCTGGGCGGGCGGGTGGGGCCTGGAGCCGCGCGCCGCCGCCGCCGCCGCCGCCGCCGCACACCCACCTCGCAGCAGTCGGCGACCGCCGGCGTCGTAGTTTTAGGAGACGCGCGTCTGGCGTCCGGGCGGGAGGCGAGCAGCAGGCGCCCCTCCTCCGGACGCCGCGCCCCCCGCCCGCGCGGCCGCGTGGGGCGGGAAGGGGCCCGGGGCCGCCTCCGCGCTCGGCCGGCAGGGGGCGCCCTTTCCCCGCCGCGCGCCCCGGGCCCTTTGCGCCCTCTCCCCGCATTAACGCGCGCAAAAATGCAGGGGGCGCAGGGTCCCCAGCTCCCCGGCCGCTCGGCCCGCGGCATTTGCATGTACTTTCCATTTATTTGCATATTATTCTTTTCACGTCTGCAGAAATGCCCCAAGCTGTAGCCCCGGCTCCCTACCCCCACCCATTTGCCTCTTTCCTTAACGTGCTTTGTAGCCCATCTGATGCCTTCGCCTGGTCAGTACGTTACAGTAAATCCGCGTCCTCCCCCAACCCACACATACTTCATTTCTCAGAGAGGAGCTGGGGTCCCAGGCCTTGCCCACAGAGGGCCCAGAACTTGGGAAGAGCAGCACCCCGATTTGCCTCTTATTTGGCATAAATCTGCACCTTAAGGTCCAAGGTCCCTAATGCCCAAGTATAAAAATGCAGCAATGGCCAGAAAGTATGCCTCTCTTCCCTGGGTCCGCTCCACGGGTCTGTTTCTCCCCGGCCCTTGACCTCTCCTTGACCTGCCCTGCCCGCTGGAAGCCCCTGGCAACAGGGAAGGAGGGGAGGAGGGCTGCCGGGGGACGAGCCCCACCCCCCCGCCCCGTGGCCACCCCTGGAGCTCTGCACAGGCGACTAGTCAGCCGAGTCACCCTTGACCCCCGGGCCTCTGTCCCTGCAGCAGTTAGAGGGTGTGGCGCACGGTTTAATTACAGCATGCGTGTCTGGTATCTGTGTTTCCCTTGTTTTCAGAATGTGCTTAAACGTGGACTCAGTCCAGTCCTGTGGAGGAACAGAGGGTCCTGAGCCCATTTCACAGAAGAGCGCGGATCCCAAAGCATCAGGCACGCTGCTTAAGGCCGCAGATTTTATGCGCCAATATTTATGGATAGCAGCGTCTTTACTTCACGGGCTCTGAGGTAGCACCGATTTTAAGATGCGCTGGTATTTTATGTGTCCCTAAGATGCCTCTAGGTTTCAGAGATATTAACGTGCATAAAAGGGAGGAAGATGGGGTGCCTGGGCAGCGAACAGGCACCCAGAAGCCAGCTCGGGAGCCCTCAGCCGGGCAGGGAGGCCAGTGCTGCCCCCAGACAACGCTGCGTTCTCACCGAGTGTTAGCAGAACTGGACCAGCCTGGGCTCAGCAGAGCTACCAAACAGCAAAGCCATCTGAGAGGGGACAGACAGACCGCTGAGCCCAAGCGGAAGCCCGCTCCCCCCTCCAGGCCTGGGGTCCTTCCCAAGGGCCCCTCCTGCTGGCCTGGGCAAACCGGCTGCAGGGAGGGAGCGGTGGAGATGGGGCTTCTGCCCGGGAAGTGACCAGGTCCCATGAGGGCCACATGGTGCACGGTGAGTCATGGCGGCTCCCGTGGACCCCGAGCTTTGCCAGGGGCAGGCACTGGGCTGGGATCCGTCTTGGCATCTTCCCGGTTACTTCTCACTCCTCCGCCAGGTGCCGGGCAGGGGTACGGGGCCTCGGGGCTACAGGTGGGGGGACCGGGGGCCGCCGCACAGGCCCACCTGGCCTCTCACGCCGCCGTCTCCCTGCCGCCTCCCGGGGATGGATTTCTCACGCTGGAAACGGCCCGGGCTCAGTTCTGGGCCCCGTGAGGTGACACTTAAGGCAAAGAATCCGATCGCTCCCCAAACCCCTGGGAGGCCAAACCCCCCTCCCAGGAGACCAGCTCAGGGGTGCGGCAGGGCCACCCTGGAAGGCCTGGGTCGAGGGGCACAGGGCCGGGGGGCCAGGAGCAGGGAGGGGAGCCGGCGCCCCTTCCTCCCGCCTCCCCCAAGGGGCCTCTTGGTCCCCGGCGCTCGCCCACAGGAGCGCGCTCTGCCCGAGGGCTCGCGGCACCTAGACGCTCTCACGCGCGGCTGGGTGCTGTCTGTGCGGCCCTGCCTCGCTGCCTCCTGGGAAACCCACCCCACGGCTCTTCCTAGCGCTTCTGCGCGTGCTGTCCCCCTGCCCGCCCCCCGAAAAGGAGCCCTGAAGGGCGTCACCCGCATGGGCTCCGTCTCAACCCCACAGCTTCCGGCTCAGGGTTTTGACAAAGATGCAACGGATAAGTACAGCGGAGCCTGGAGCAAGGGGAGGCGTAGGAACCTGCCGGGTCAGCCCGGCGCGGAGCTCAGGCCGTCAGCCGCTGCAGACCCGCCGGTCTTTGAAAACGATTCTGAGCAACTCCGGACTACCTTAAACATGCTGCCGTTACATCTGGAAAACGAACGGAAATTTAAATAGCTGCCACGAGCGCAAAATCTGACATATCGTAAGTATGGATTTTTTAAAACAAAGGTTGGTGGATGAATTAGATACCACTTGATATCCACCATTTGATTTGATAGCCACCATTATCCACTTAAAGTGCACAAACTCTACTTTAGCATCTGAATTTTCACACAGCCTCCAGGCTGAAACAAAGAACTTTTTTAAAAAAAGTTTTTTTTTTAAGTAATTAATACACTCAACATGGGGTTCAAACTCACAACCTCAGCATCAACCCTGACTGAGCCAGCCGGGCGCCACGAAACAGAGAACCGTTAAATACAACACCAAAAGCACAATCCGTGAGAGAAACATTGGATAAGCAGGGCTTCGCTGAAATGAGAAACTTCTGCTCTGGGAAAGACCCCGTCAAGAGGGTGAGAAGCCCAGCCGCCGACCAGGAGAAAATATTTGCAAAAAACATGCAATGAAGGACTGGCATCCAACACGTACAAAGAGCTTACAATTCAGCAAGAAAACAAACCACCCAACTAAAAAATGGGCGAAATTCCTGAACAGACACATCACCAATGAAGGTATACAGGTGCGGCGTATGCATGGGGACAGGTGATCCGTCACATCACCAGGGAAACAGGATGGGAAAGCAGAGAGCTACCGCCACCCACCTGTTAGAAGGGCTGAAATCCAGAACGCCAACCACTCCCGAGGCTGACGCGGGCCAGAGGCAGCAGGAGATCTCGGTGCTGGTGGGAGGGCAGAGCCACACACGCACTTCGGAAGGCAGCTTGGCCGTTTCCTACAAGATGAAACATGTTCTTACCGTACAACCCAACGTTCATGCTTCTCGATATCTACCCAAAATGTGTCAGAGACATACATACATACGAAAACCTGCACGTGGATGTTTAGAGCAGCTCTGTTCACAACTGTCAAAACCTGGAAGAAATGAAATTGTCCTTCGATGATGAAGCGACAGATACGGTGTGGTCCCCCCGGACCATGGGGTGTCACTCAGCAATAAACAGAAATGAACCTGGAAAGACCTGGAGGAACCTTAACTGCACATGGCTAAGGGAAAGAAGCCATCTGAAAAGGCTCCATGCAGACTGGTTCCCACATGTGACATCTGGAAGAGGCAGAGCTATGGAGGCCGTCAGTGGTCGCCAAGGTTGGGGCAGAACACGGAGGATCCTGGGGGCATTGAAGCTATGCTGTATGACGCTGTGAGGGTGGGTACATGTCACCGTCAGTGACGCTTTAAATATCCACATATAATAAAGGGCGAGCACAGCGGAAACATAGGCAACAGCCCTTTCTTCACCCCTGGATTTTCACTCAGTTCCCTTCTCTCCTGACTTATTTATGACCATTTCACCCACCAGAATTCTATCCTAATATATTTTCGGTTAAATCTTTTATTTTCCTATCACACAGAACAATGTAAATGGAATGTCAGGATTTAAATACTTTCTTGTGTTAAAGGTTGTCTGTCTTCTCCATTGGGCTGTCATCATATCACTAACAGTACGCAGTGATACAAACGATGTGAACTCATTGTACATTTGGAGAATTAGTAAGTGTAAAAAAGGAAGTTTCGGTTGGAAATATGGGTATTGAAAAGAGGGATGACGGGGCGCCTGGGTGGCTCAGTCAGGTAAGCGTCCGACTTCGGCTCAGGTCATGATCTCACGATTCGTGGGTTCAAGCCCCACGTCGGGCTCTGTGCTGACAGCTCAGAGCCTGGAGCTGCTTCAGATTCTATGTCTCCTTCTCTCTCTGACCCTCCTCTGCTCATGCTGTTTCTCTCTCTCAGAAATAAATTTTTAAAAAGCGTTAAAAAAAAAAAAAAGAAAAGAGGGATGCAGCAGAGTTTTGAGTGGTTTGTATATTGGTGCATGCGTACTACTTATTGCCCGGAGAAGACGGAATTAGACGGGATCCATCCCTGTCACGGGATCTCACGTGAATCACATCAATAAACAGATCAGGAGGAACGGCCTCTGTGCTGCCGAGATATCACTGTGTACAGATCAGTGCCCGGACCATGTGCTGACTGGCCATGAAACGACTTAAGCAGCTGACTAGTCCACAGCCCCTCTTCAATCTTGTCACAAGCAAAACTCGAAAGCTGCCAGAGTTGCAAAAAGATGTGTTTTCTGCAGGTGCGGAGTCGGGGCTGGGCCCAGGGAGGGAGCCGGGCGCCTTTTTTGAGAAGTGAGAGCACAGTGACCGTTCAAGGGAAGCTGGGAAAGGTCGGCGCTGGGAGTGAGCGGGTGGCCTGCTGCCTGGCCGTCAGCTGTGGCTGGTGTGGGCACCAGGAAGCTTCTGGCCCTCAGGACGGTCTCTGGCCTTCTCCCCCGCCCCTCACCCAGCCAGGGATGGCCCCTCTAGCCAGGGGAAGCCCCGCCCAGAGCCCCAGGCGGAGACACACCAGGCAGGCGGAGGGGCACACTGTGGAATCACGCTGTCCACCCTACATCAGGGCTGCGGCTCCAGGCTCGGCGGGGGCCACACCGCACCAGCGAGGTGAGAAGGGATCGAAGGCGGCTTCCTCCCGTGAAATGCTTTCCCTGAGGGAGGTTTCTCTGTGGGGAACCCTGCCTGCCTGGCCCTCAGCAAGCATGACCCCCAGGGGGGTCTGGGATCCACCCCTCCCCGCCACAGCCCCTCAGCCCCTCCCCTGCCAGCCCTGCATCTGCAGGTGCACGGAAGCTCGGCCTTGTGGACGATTGGCTCCGGCACCACGTGAGATCCACCCCCGACCCAGATGCGTGGGGAGGGTCTCCCACGTGCGGGACACTGCCCCCTCCCCACCCTGGACCTGCCACTGCCCGTGCCCACTGCCTGAGGATGGTGCCGGCGTGGGGGCCAGGGGGACAGAGGAAGGGGCCGCTCGGGGCACCGTCCCGCCGCCCCTGCCCGGCCGTCCCCGGAGCCCATCCTCCTTCCCCACTTGCTATTTCCATAATACATTTCCGTATAGTTCAGGCTGGTTTTTGCCAACATTTCTGTTCTTTGTAACCCAGAGTGTGCTTTTGGCCTTCTGTCCAGAGGGTCTTCGCAGCGTCTAAGGGCCACGGTGGCCCGTTAATCATCCCCCGCTTTACCCCACGTCAGAAGCACCCCGGCGGCTGTGTGGCGAATGTCCAGGCGCAAAATTTAAGGCGGCACCAAATACTCAGTATTCGAGATAAATCACGTTTTAACCCAGTATTTAAAAATATTAGAATCAGTGACCAAAAACTCCAAGGTGAGCAAAACACCGAAACTTTAAGGCAAGACGGGACTCCCGTGGCTGATTTCTCCCGTTGGGCCAGGCTCCCGCGTGCGCCCGGGGTCCTTCCCCGAGACGGGACGGGAAGACCCTGCAGGGAGGCGCCGGGCCCTCCGCGTGAGTCTCCGTGGTTTAGGGCCACAATCGGGGAAAGAAGGACCCGGGGCGTGTCCTGAAGCGTCCCAGGCGGTTCCCACTGTGCTCAGACCGCCTTGCAGAGGGGCCCCTGCAGGCTCTGGGGCGTGAAACGCTTGTCTAGGGGCAGGGCCCAAACAAGCGTTGGCGCCGGCTGCCTCGGCTGCTCAAGGACGGACACGGAGGAGGCCAGCAGGTGGCTGGCGGTGCTGCCGGGAGGTCGTGGGCAGGGACAGGCCTACCCACTCCGGCCGCTGAAGGTCTGTCCTCTGGGCGTCCTGGGGGCCCGCGAAGAGCCCTCCGCGCCATCCTGCCGGGAGACCAGGGACTGGAGGGCTTGCCCGGGATTCCCTGTCCCCTCTGGCGAGGGCTGCTCAGGGACGGTCACTCCCCACCTGCGTCCCCACTGCAGCGGCCGAGAGGGAGCCCTAGGCGGGGGTGTCAGGGGCTGGTGGCCCCGACCCAGACGGTGTGCACAGAGCAGGGGCAGGGGGTGCGGGCAGGCGACGGGTGCGGACGGGTGTGGGCGTGGCTGGCCCCGGCTGACCGGCGGGGCGGGCTCCCATCCCCCGCCCCGGGGCTCCCCCGACCTGGCTCAGGGCCCTCGGAGGCCAGAGCCCCGGCCGACCCCTCTGAGTGTCCCCACTGTTTTATTCCGGGTCGGTGGTTTTTATCTGCAATGAAGCTTTAGTCGGGAACACGAAATAAAGCCTGGGGCTGGCGTCACGTTGAGAGAATTGTGACGTCAGGTTCTTAGCAGAATCATTAATTACTGTGTGAGCGAAGCCAGGCAGCTGAAATCCCAGCTCCAGGCGGGGCCAAACGCAGCGTCCAGCCCGCGGCCGGACCACGGGCTCCCTGGAGGACAGCCACCTGCTGGCCACCCCCCCCCCACCCTGCGCGGCGGACGCTTTCCACACTGCCGCTCCTTCAACCCTCGGAACGCCCTGTGTGGCAGGTTACAGACCGGGTGTCTGCGGACGGGGAGCCCGGCACCCGGCACGCGGAGGACTCTTGTGGAGGCGGCCGTGCGCGGGGTGGGGGGCGGCTCCGCCCGGTGCCCCAGCCCTCGCCCCTTGTCGCTGCACTGCCAGCCTTCACTGCCCACTTGTGCCCTGCTATCTGCCCAGTCACACTCTGCCACCCCCGGCCACCTGTCCGCAGCACGGCCGACAGTCACAAGAAAGGAGGCCTCCCTTCCAGACCGTGGGCAGGGGCCACGATGAGCCGCCACGGCGGAGGCAGCTGTCACAGGGGCCCAGCGCTGCGGCCGGAGGGGGGTCACCCGCATGCTCAGAGCTGCAGCCGCGCGGCTGCCCTGAGGCGGTCCTCGGCAGGGACAGGGCACTTTGGGGTTCACACCCCCGCTCTGCTGAGGAAACGCCAATGAGACCAGAGGACGGTTTGCACAGACTTGCGCTTGCCTAAGGAGGCCCCAAACACGAGGCTGCGGGAAGACCTTGAACCTCACTGGTTCATGGGCAAATAATCAGGTGCTGTTTCTCACCGATGAAAAAGGTCAAGATTTGAAGAAGAAAATATCCACGGTCGCGGGTGCAGGGACACAGGCCGCACTGGTGATACGCCTCCCACGGCCCTTTGGCGATAGATATGCAGGGCTGTAAATCCATCCAGCAGCTTCTACGCTCAGGATATTTGTTACCTAAACAGTGCCGTGTGACAAAGTCAGAACGTGTGCCCGTCAGCTGTGCTCAGATCAAGTCGATGGAATTCCCGGCTCTGCTCCACGGGGGAGCGGGGTGGCGACCGGTGTACTCGCAGTCGTCAGATGCAGAGCACAGACCCAGGCGTGTGCACGGGGGCCCAGGAAGGGCGTCGGGGCTGCCGCGGGCTGGCTGCGACCCCCACTCTCTGCTTCTCTAATTTTCTGGTTTTCTCCAAGCAGCGCTGTCTCTTTCTGCCCCGTGGGGCAGCCTCCTTCCCTGCCCCTCCTTTCTTCCCCCGAGGAACCTGTCCGCACAGATGCTCTGAGCCTCCGCTTTCTCTGTAAGGTGGAACCTGTGTGTCCCAAAGACGGGTCCAGAGTTCTCTCTCACCTGTGTTCAATTTCAGATGAGAGTCGGGCCGAGCGGTAGAAACATCCTGATGGCAAATCAGCCGCGGTATAAGAGTCACAGGGAAAGTCAATGGGATGAGGTAGCATTTGAATCCCAGGAGAGCCCTGCACTCACCAGGAGATGGTCTCAGGCCAACTCTCCATCCCATTTTGGGGAAAAAATCTTATATCCCTCAGTTCATTTTGAAAAGAAACTCCACTTGTGTTAAAGAATAAAATGTGAAAAACAAAATAGGGACAGTATCAGAGAAGAATACAAGGTCTCTGTATAATATTTGTTTATGATGAAAGAAACCCAGAAAAAACCCAG